TGACTCTGCCCTGCCTCTAGTCTCCCGATGGCTCTCCATCGTAGTTCTTCAGGCAAATGATGCCTAGAGGTCATTATTACGAATTGACTATCTCAGATTTTCAATGTCGCAATCACAGTAAAATTTGTGTGCTTTCTCTCAAACTTGGACTTTTATGCTCCAGGCAGATGACGTAAGCCGAGTACAGCGCCACTAATTTGCATATTGCAATTTTACTCAGCTACTCTTAGTGGACAACATATGCAAATTTTGCACGGTTTGGCTTACTTTTGAAAGAGTTATCGCTATTTTTGTGATTTTTCCTTAATTTATGATAACCAGTGTAGTTATCGTGTTTTTAAGGAATCTAGTTTAAATTAATCATTTTGTTAAATTTTTTTATAAATGTATAATAGTTTTGAAAAACTATTTCCTTTGTTGTCACACTCACAATGTTTCGAATTTTAATTACTAATAGTATTTCTTTGTATATACAAATAATTTAAATTACCTATATTTTCCTAAAATTTGATGTACTTTAAGAATTTTAGATCTTATACAAATTTTCCGTAACTTTCGTAAAAATGTATTTATTATTTTTATGCACTGTTTTTACATACAAATATTAATAAGTAGTAAATTAGATATCTTCGAAAACTTAAAATTTGAGTGCATAAAAAATTTCCCAAATCTTGAGGTAATTTAATAACTTTCAAAATTTCACATAACTAAAAATGATACCTATTAATGGTATTCTTTTTTTTTTATTTTTGATTAAAAAATCGTTTTCTTTAGTTTGTCTTCAAGCATTTTTGTTTTGTCCTCAGCATTAAAAATTGTAAAAGGAAAAAAAAAACTAAGCATTACATTTTTTTTAGTTTCCTCTTTTATATTATTTTTTATAAATTTATTAACTAAAATTAACTTTTTTTTAATTACCTCAAAACAAATTAAAATGGAGACCATAAATAATCTATCCATTCAACACCAAAAAGAAAGAAGTATTGCAAAAGAAGTGTTGTTGCCTTTAAATATGTCGCTTGTCAGGTGTAGTGTCCAACATCTTGTCAGGAGTAGTGCCCAACATCTATTCAGGTTTAAACCTGTTTCCCAACATCTTTGGTACCCTTGAAAGTCCAAGCTACCTTCTTTGAGGAGAGGAAGTAATTTAATACTTATTAATATGCTACACCCTATCCGTTTACTGTATTTCTGGCAAATACTGTGAGTGCAGTGATTTGATGAAAACAAAAGGACATCAGCCTATCTTATTTTTGAAGTTAAATTTTGATATTTTTTTAAAGAGGGGGATTAACTTTTTGACATATTATAGTAAACAGAAGTATGTCTAAGTATAATTACCTTAATGGGATAAAGGCCCCTGCACAATCCAGTTTGCAACTCATACTAGAACTATGAATTTGTGTTACTATTATTCGCTATTAATGACAACAAATGTCTCATTATTACTTGAAAAACGTTAATAATAAATCTAATTTGTGTAACCATTATTGAAAACAAATGTCTTCTTCTTTCTTGATATACGTTTATTCCGGACCAATTTGTGCCACCATTTTTCGGTAATATTAAATGAGAATGTTTTGTTCTTCCTTGATAAACACAAATAATGGAAAAATTTGCCTTAACATTATTCGCATGTTTGTAAAGTGTAATTTCTTAAACACTTAGGAAAATAACAGATAGAAAATACAGGTTAATAACTAGTATGTACTCTTGAATATTTTTATTATGACTAATAATGTTCATTAATAATTTACCGAGCAATTTTTCAGTTCTAAAATAAAGTCTGTCACCTTTGTTACGATTGTGATAAAATGAAAGTAATTATTACAAACAAGTAGAACAAAACACAATGTCCGTTATATTTAAACATATTGAATAACTATTACAGATTTTTTTAATAGTAGTTATTCAAGAGTTAAGTACAATACAAATTTAAAATAATGAATTTTTAAGTAGTAGGAAGTTTTATTGCATTACAATTAATTCCCCTCTTTATTCTTTTAAGTAAAAATATTTTATAGCTTTTATTCTGTTCTTGAATACTGTGCAAACATTTAAAAAATAGTTCAGTTAAATATCCTATATTTATCACATTTTTGTATCATATGGTTGATTAAATGTTGATTGAACAACTTGTTGATTGAATATCAACATGCATTTCAACATCTAGTAAAAAACAGTAAAAATTTTTTTGTTAATATGAAAACCTTTTAGTCTTAGCAAGACGTAAGTTAAATGCCGCCGTTAGAGACGAAATAGCGATATATATCATGAAATACAATTTCATTAAATTCCTCATTCTGTATTTTTAAACCGAAAGACAAACATATCATATCTTTCTGATCTTCAAACAAAGTGCATATATATTATAACTTATTAAAACCGTATCAAAATTTATCTCTTGTGTCAGAATAGATTGTGTTATCACTTATAATTAAACGACATTCTCTTTTGAATCGACGCTAAGCGGTGGTTGAGAGGTATATGATTCCTGTGAAGATTAAAGGAAACGTAGACTGAGAGCTTAGAAGCCTAAAATCGAATCATTTTACCTGAAGTATTTAAATGTCTTAAGATGGAATTAAATCATGGTACAGCGAAGTCCTATTTCAGCACATCACACAATGGCGCGTTTTCATTTCAGTGGAAAATCAAGAATTTTTATCGTTTACAACGAGATTTTCCTATTTCGAGTCCGGAATTTTATTATAAAGGCAGTAACAACCTTTGGTTCTTGAAACTTAAAGTTTCGTATTATCATCCCAATGATTTTCTCATATTAGATCTACATAAAATTTCTACTGATGAAATTGGTTTAAATTTTACAATAACTGTATCTCAAAACCAGGGAACAACATTTTATGCAAATAGTGGTTCTGAATTTTATTTTTCGAAATTGAAACCTGTAAAATTGCTACCAAGCATAAGACTACCGAGATCGTTGTTGTATGATTTCATTAACATCTCTTGTACTATTCAAGTAAGTGATCTAGATGTTGAAAGTCATGCAAAGACAGTGACAAGCATATATCCCAGCCTCAAAAGTTCAGAATCCCAAAGCGATAGACAAAGCTCTTCAAATCATATCCATAATAATTCTGAAAAAGCAGACCGGACGGAACAAAAGGCCAACTCACATTTGAAGGAAAAGAAAGTTGATGAATCCGTAGTGAAAATTGCAGAGCGAACTCAATCCTCCCAAATGGAAAATACTCCAGATGATAGTCCGGATCTTGAAACATTGAAGCAACTTTCGATCGATTTAAAAAGGATGCTTACCCAAACCATGAATGCTGATGTAACAATTCGAGTGGAAGATATCACCATCAAAGCGCATAAAAATATATTATGTGCAAGATCACAAGTGTTTTGCAGCATGTTCGAACATTCCACTATAGAAGCGGCAAACAATGAGATTGAAGTGACGGATATCCGACCTTCTGTTATGGAAAAAGTCATCAAATACTTATACTCTGGTGAAAAAGGTCGCCTTCAATACGAGGAAGCATGTGATCTTTACTACGCAGCTGACAAATATGAGATTTTAGGTCTCAGAGAAGCTTGTATGAAAGATCTCGTATGCCTACTTGATGTGAGCAACGCCTGTTCAATACTCAGTCTAGCATATCGTCACAGTGATGATGCTTTCAAAGAGCAAGTAATGAACTATATTTCTAAGAATTTTATTTCTATTGTCAATACAGAGTCGTGGATTGAATTAACAGATAAAGACACAAGACTAGCTGCTCTTTTGATGCGTTATTGTGCTGGAGCTTTGACTAAGTAGGTCTGTTTTCGGTTTTATTTTCTTCAGATATTGTTATTTGATTTCAGAGCTTACTTTTAGAAAACTTCAGACATGTATATCATTATTATTAAGATAACTACATTTTATCAAAGTGTAACTGTGTGAAGTAAAAGATATGAGAATGTTAGATATTGCTATATTATTTTTGGGAATACTATTTATTTTATACTTAAATTAGAAAGGCTTAGCACAATTTGGTGATAAATTATAATTTTTCAGGAAATGTCAATTTTACATCAAACATTTTCGTATTTCAAATTACTATCCCTAGATAGGTACATTAGAATTTTTGAAAGTTTTGCTAGTTAAAATAAATAATAAATGCCCAAAATTTTCTTAGTGCTTCTTTAGAAGTTGTGAGGTTTTTCTTCCAAAATTCTCCATTTAACAATTTAAAAATGTGGCTCCTATGCTCGTTATAAAAGAAACAACTGCTACTTCAAATGTAAAATATAAACTTCTATCATGTTTTATCAGAGCTGTGTAATAAATATATAATAAGTTTTTAATTTACTTTATCTGTTTATTTTAAATATTGTCATTCAGGGAGTTTTAATACTCTGAGGCAAGGTATTTTTTTTCTTCTTGTTTTGTCTTTTGTGTCTCTGTCTTTGTGTTCAGATAAATACTTAACTATTTTCCAGATGTTTCGTTTGAATGTAAATAAAGGTCCTGACAATTAAAACAATTTCTGATTACAATACTTATTTCCATTTTTGTATCATAACTACTAAGTATCTTATTGTGTTCTTCGTTGCCGAAACTTTTGGTTTTGTATGGATATTCACTTTTCATATTTAAATTGAAGCAAAATCTATTATTTTGTATTAACACTTAAACGGAGATGGAACACCGGTGTTCCATATATATAACACTTTTTCTACCCCTCTAATTATTAGAAAAAAATATTTTTGCTATTTTTAAATTGTATGATCCATTCCAATAGTTACTCAAAAAATCTGTGTGGAATTTGATTTATATTAAAACATAAAATCCCAAAATAGTAATTGTAAAAAAATATTTTTTAATTCATATTCAAAACATTTATCAATAGTTTATTTTATAAATTAAAGAAGTTTCTATAATGAATAGCTATTTCTCTTAAATATAAATGCAAATTTTAAAAATTGTTTGAAAGTGAGTCATGTTTGTAAGATTTTAGTCAATAAACGCAGGGAAAGACAACAGTGTTTTATTCTGTATTTCATAAGCAATTGTATTTAAAATGCTAAATATATTTCAATTATTTTGATCTAAATTAATTCAAAATAATGAAAAAAGTATGAAAAATATTTTTAATAAATATTTAAAGTTAAATGATTTAAAAAAATAACTTATTATATGCATAGCTAACGAATAATTTTGGTAATATAATTTGATTCTTTAACTGTGGCAGAAAATGGTATTTATCTTCAGACAGGTGGTAGTCGTTTTCCCCCAAAGGATTTTTTTGTTTTAAAACACACGGACAAAACAAAAATCTGAATTCGTAATTTTTATTTTGGCGCAAATTCAACAGATAAAAAGAACATGCAATTTTGTCTCAAATTATCGCGGGTTGTCTGGTTTAAAAAGCAATAATTTCTTATAAAAAAACAATCATCATTAAATAGACAGGCAATACTGCAAGATCATTCAAAATTTAAAGGCTTTGTAACTTGATATAATAACAATAAGAAAGAAAAAAAAAACGCTGCTTCGAAAGTGATAAAGAGTATTAAGCAGAAAAGGTGCAAGGGAAGGAACTTTATTATTTAGGTAAGTTAAGTATTGTTTTCTTTGTAAATTTTTATGCTGAATTAAATGACACCAAAAAAATTTATGTGATTATGAATAACAGCTTGAAAGTAACAGGGAACGGAGTAAGGAATCATAAAAAGAACCATTTTTGATTTATACTACATACTTATGTTTAGTTTCAGTAATACTTTCCTGTATAATTTTTGCGCGTAATGAAATAAAATAAAAACTAAGTTGAATAGTTCAAAATATTTAAAGTTTTTATGTATAAAAAGAACAATTCTGTGCTTATTCGTAATTTGGTATACTATAGCCTACGTCACAGATCGTGTTATTCCTACTAAATTTAACTAGTAAACAGCATTTTCTGCGAACCTGATTTCTAGCAACAGGTAAAAGCATCAAACGAAGTGTCTTGTTATAAGTCGCTACTCGCCAGGTTGGAATTGTATTAGTCTAGTTCCTTTGGAAATAATTTATATTGTTGTTTTACCGAAGTTTATGAATTTAGTAAACATATTTAAAACTCAGTTTATTAATTAAACTAAAAGGTAAATTTTATTCCTAGTAAGTGGAAGTAGTTGTGCTTTTTTTCATATTATACCCAATTGAGTGTTTGGCGTTGATGTACGATTGTGATTTTTAAAATAAGATTAACCATGACATATCAGGATTACAAATTTGCTTAATTAAATTTATTAAACCCAGAACCACAATTAATTTACTACCACTTGAAAATATTTATTCGTTGTCCGAAGCAAGTTGGCATCTCTGTGTATATAAATAAAACTATTTTAGTGTGTTCTATATTGCATTAATTTCTTCAAACTATTTCAGTAACGATAATAATATAAAAAAATTAAAAGCATTAAAAATTTACTCGAATTATGTGTTTCTTATAATCTTGGCTTCGACGGTCACCGGTGCCCCCGTGGCGCTGCGAAAGAACTCAGCGTCGGTCACCGGTGACCCCCATGGCATTCAACGTGTTAAAGTCCGGTCGAGGGGGAAAAGTTCTCATAGCGGTACCCAACTGATGTTCCGCGGAACCCAAGGGTGGCGTGGTGGGTTCAATTTAGTTCCACGAATTAGTTCTTTTCTTAACCAGTGATGAGCTTTCAGTTCAAAATGTAACTTCTTAAACAATTAGGAAAATAACACATAGAAAATAGAGGTTAATAACTAGTTTATACTCCATATATATTGAATTTTTTCATTAAGGCAATTAATGTCATTAGTAATATTTTTTTCTTTTTAAATTGTTTTTCTAATTCACTGTGCAATTTTTTAGTTCCGAAATAACGTCAGATACCTTTGTTGCGTTTATGATAAAGTGAAAATAATTATTACAAAGAAGTAGAACAATACACAAAGTATGCTATATTTGCACACATTGAATAACTACTCCAAATTTTTTAGTTGACAGTATTTATTTAAATGTTAAACACAATACCATGAAAAACGTAATTATTAAAAAAATTTATAATATAGAAATAAAATAACTATATCTGCAAATAGTAAAAAAATTTAAAATAATGAGTTATCAAGTAGTATGAAATTTTATCATATTACTATTAATTCTCCTTTTGATTCTTTTAAGTGAAAATATTTTATAGCTTTTAGCCTGTTCTTGAATAGTGTGCAAATATTTAAAAAATAGTTGAGTAGATACCACCCTTAGGAAAATTTGCCATAGGTTTGCCATAAAAAATGCCATAGGATATTCCTATGGGGTTTTGCCTATGGCAAAATTTTGCCATACATGTATGGCAAAATTTTGTCATACATATATGGCAAAAGTTTGCCATAGGCAAAACCCCATAGGAATATCCTATGGCATTTTTTTATGTGGCAAATTTTTGCCATAAAACTAAGATGTGCTACAGCTTATGACGAAATATTTTTCCATAGGCTATGGTACACCTTTGCCATACAGCTATGGCAACATTTCTCGTTGATATTTTACCAAACATCAAAAAATAGTTACTTACAAGAATCTTTCGCAATGGATACTAAAAATGCAAAACTTAATAATTGTAGAATAAATATATATCCAGAAAGCTTTTTTTAAAAATTTCTTTGATAAACTTTCCCTGTTTCACTTGAAGAATCCTTTCTGAATGCTGTTCCTATTCAAATAAATTTTAACCGGTTAGTACTAACCGTTAAAAAATGGGTCCGGTGGTCAGAGTGAGTGGGGAAAATATTGGTTAATGTTTATTAGGAACAAAATTAATTGAGTACAGGCAACCAATATTTGTTAAAACTGTAAAAAACAAGAAAATAGAAAGTGGGTCTGGAGGTCGGAGCGAGTATAAAAAACGTTAATTTGATTGATTGGCATCATAATTAGTTAGATAAGCGTTAGATATTAGAGGAACCTAAAAGAAAGCGAATTTAAATAATGGTCGGAGCGAGTATGAAAATTTTTTAAATTTTGATATGTGATACTAAACTTAAAATTAAACAGACTACTAAAACAATAAAATACTATGAAAACTCAAAAGATAAAGAGTGGGGCTGGTGGTTGAAATGAAATTAGCTTAAAATTGACCAAACGGGACAAAAGCCGAATATGTAACGGTGCAACCAGTGGTGGCATGTGAACAAAATTTTATCTATAAAAAAGATGGTATTAGACTATGAAAAGCTGAGAATAGAAAGCAGGCTAAATTAGTTGATCCCCTACTAGTTAGGGATATAAAACTCAGAAAATTTATGTTGAGTTGTGTTAAGCACAGTTAGAAAAGAGAACGCAATATAGAAACATTGGTAAATACAAAACATGGTAAAATTAATAAATGCTCTTGACACTTGGTCAGGGATAGTAAATAAAAATTAATTGGGTATAGGGAATCGCTATGACGAAAAAGCTGTAAACTTAAGGAAAGGATAAATTGTTTGAAGCATTTTTGGTTACAGCAGCTGATGATATGGCCAGGGACTGTCCAGTTGATGATATTGAAGCAAGATAATTGTCAACCAGTAATCCAGCAAATCTAGTTAAGTGATGACCCTAAGTTATGTATAAATTTTTGCCATATGTATNAAATTTGACAAGAATTAGTAAGAAAATTTACAATTTTCATCGAATTTTAATGACCCAAGTATTCTTATCCCCCCCCCTCAAAAGAAATAATTTAAAAAAATTAAATAAAAACTAAATTTTAAAAAAATTATTAGCGCATTTTAAAAATAAATAATAAATATTATTCTGTATTCAAAACCGTTTTTTTAATTAAAAATCATATATACATAAAAAAATATTATAGTATTAAATCAAAAATTTTCAGTGGCTCTTTAAAAGCGGGAAATTTTGTAAAATTGTAACTTTTGGCTCTTTCATTTCAAAAGGTTGCCGACCCCTGCTCCAGACGAAAGTCCTGATTTTGAAACATTGAAGCAACTTTCGATCGATTTAAAGAGGATGCTAACCCAAGCCATGGATACTGATGTAACGATTCGAGTGGAAGATATCACCATCAAAGCGCATAAAAATATATTATGTGCCAGATCACAAGTGTTTTGCAGCATGTTCGAACATTCCACTATAGAAGCCGCGAAAAATGAGATTGAAGTGACGGATATTCCAGCTTCTGTTATGAAAAAACTCGTCAACTACATATACTCTGGTGAAAAAGGTTGCCTTCAATACGAAGACGCGTGTGTGCTTTACTACGCAGCTGACAAGTATGAGATTTTGTATCTTAGGGAAGATTGTATGAAAGATCTCTTATGCCTACTTGATGTGAGCAACGCCTGTTCAATGCTTAGTCTGGCATACCGCCACAGTGATGATGCTTTCAAAGAACAAATAATGAACTTCATTTTTGAGAATTTTAATTCTATTGTTAATACAGCAGCATGGATTGAATTAACAGATAAAGATACAAAACTAACAGCTCTTTTAATGCGTAATTGTGCTGGAGCTTTGACTAAGTAGGTCTGTTTTTAGTTTAATTTTCTCACGATGTTGTTATTTAATTTGAGAATTTACATTTAGAAAACTTCAAACATGAATATCATTATTATTAAGATTTATTTGACCAAAGTTTAACTGTGTAAAGTAAAAGGCATGTAAATGTTAAATATTGTAATATCATTATATGAGATACTATTTGTTTTATACTTAGATTATAAAGGCTTAAGACAATATGGTGATAAGTTACGTTTTTTCTGAAAATGTCATTTTTACATCAAACGTTTTCGTGTTTCATAGTACTATGTCTAAATAGGTACTTCAAAATTTTCGCAAGTTTTTCTTTATAAAAAATAATAAAACCCAAAATTTTCTTAGAGCTTTTTTAGAAGTTGTGTTGTTTTTCTTTAATAACTCTCCCCTTAACAATTTAGAAATGTAGCTCTTATGCCCTTTATAAAAGAAACAACGGCTATTTCAAGTATAAAGAAATTATATTATTTTTTATTAGTTTGAACTGTGTAATAAATATATAATAATAAGTTTTTAATTTAACTAATTATGAAATCTCATTGATCGTTTATTTTAAATGTTGTCATTCGGGGAGTTTTAATACTCTGAGACAAAGTTTCTTTCTTCTTGTTTTGTCTTTTGTATCTCTGTCTTTGTTTCCAGATAAATACTTAACGATTTTCGGGAATTTATGTTGGAATGCAAATAAAGGTCCTGTCAATAAAAACAATTTTTTATTACACTACGTACTTCCATTGTTAAATCACAAACTTTCGATTTTGTCTGAATATTCTCTTTTTGTATTTAATATGAAACAAAATGTATAATATCATATCAACACTTTGATGGAGGTAGAACACCAGTGTTCCTTACATATAACGCTTTTTCTAACTCTCTGATTATAAGAAAAATATATTTGCTCTTTTTAATTTGTAAGAAACAGTCCAACGTCACTCGAAAACACTGCCCGGAATTTCATTTATATTAAAATATGAAATCCAAAAAAGTAGTTTTTTATTCATATTGAAGAAACTTTATCAATAATTTATTTTATAAATAAAAGAAATTTAAATAATGAAGAGCTGTTTCCTTTAAATATAAATAAGTACAAATTTGAAAAATTGTTTAGAAGATTTTAGACTTAACGCAGGAAAAGAAAAATGTGTTTTATGCTGTATTTCATTACTAAAAATCATTAAAATACTTAGTATAATATTTTTCACTTATTTTGATCTAAATTGATTCAAAATAATCAAAAGAAAGTATGAAAAATATTTTTAATAAATATTCTGAGTCAAAGAGTTTTGAAAAGTAATTTATTATATACATGCTAAAGAATTATTTTTAGTATAGAATTTGATTCTATAAATATGGCAGAATATAATATTTATCTTTAGACGTGTGGTAGTTGTTTTCCCAAAAAAGATTTTTTGCTTCTAAACACATAGACGAAACAAAAATCTAAATTCTTATTTTTCATTTTGGCGCAAATACAACAGATAAAAAGTATATGTTATTTTGCCTCAAATTATCACGGGTAGACCGGATGAAAAAGCAATAATTGTTTATAAAAACAATCGTCATTAAATAGACAAGAAATACTGCAAGATCCTGCAATATTTAAAGGCGTTGTAACCAGATATAATAATAATAAATGAAGGATAAAAAGAACATTGATAACTAAATTATCAAACAGTAAGCAAAGAATAAATCTGTGTATATCGTAAATTGAAAGCATTATTAAAAATGTTTATCTCACGCTCTTATAATATATATATATANACAATGAGATATTAACTTTCCAAAATTTTTTTCGACCTTACGACCTCTGAGAATCAATACATTTCTGAAAGCTCTTATGAATGATACAATTATGTTCAGATTTGAACCCAAATTGTAATAACGAAGCTGCATAGAATATTAGGCTTGTTCACACATCGCCTCGTAGTCATAACATAAGCGGAGGGATACACCGGAAATCTTCTAAATTTCTTCCGGTTTAAGGACGCTTGTTATTGTTTACATTAGACCACCCATCCATAGATAAAATTTCTTTCTCGTGCAAATCCATAAAAAGTTTGATATTAAAATTATATTTGATTTTAAAATTATATTATACCATTCTTCCGAATTTAAAAATAAATTAATATCCATAACTTTCAAAATTAAAAATAATTAAATAAATAACAACAATTTTGCAAAAACATTAAAGAACATAAGAATATTATTCAATAAAATTTTAGGTTACTTTGAATTTTCGATTTCCTAGAAATGTACTTTTAAATCGTTACTTTTTTTGTTTAGTACTTGTACTTTTTACTCGTTACTTTTTAAAATAAGAACTTTTTACCCGAAACTTTTTTTAAAAATACTTGTACTTTTATTCGTTACTTTTTAAAAGTAACGTTGCCATATATGGCAGAGGCAGATACACGTATCTTATCTTTCCTATTTTCAAACAAAATACATATACTATAATTTATTAAAACGATACCAAAATTTATCTCTTGTGAAAGAATAGAAAGTGTTATCAGTTATTATAAAACGACATTCTCTTTTAAATCGACGCTAAGCGGTAGTTGAGAGATGGATGATTCCTGTGAAAATAAAAAGAAACATGAATTGAAAGCTTAGAAACAGAGAATCGAATTATTATAACTGAAGTATTTAAATTTCTTAAGATGGAATTAAATCATGGTACAGCGAAGTCCTATTTTAGCGCATCGCAGAACGGCGAATTGTCATTTCAGTGGAAAATAGAGAAATTTTATAGCTTACCAGATTTTCCTATTTCAAGTCCGGAATTTTATTATAAAGACAATAGTGACTCTTGGTTCTTGGTACTTGCTGCTACGACCGTTGATCACAATTATTGTCTCCAATTAGATCTATACAGCAATTCTAATGATGAAAGTGATTTCATATTTGCAATAGCTGTATCCACTGTATCCATGAGAAGGCCATTTTATGAACATAGAGGTTCTGTTTTTTCTTTTTCAAAATTGAGACCTGCGAATTTGATACCGAACATAAAACTACCACCAATCACCTTCTTGCCTGATACAATTGACATCAATTGTTCTGTTAGAGAAAGTGGACTGGAAGTTGAGAGTCATATAAAAACAGTGACAAGCATGTATCGTAACCTCAAAAGTTCAGAATCCGAAAGCTATCAACAAAGCTCTTCAAATCAGATCCATAATAATTCAGGAAAAGCAGACCGGAAGGAACAAGGGGCCCACTCGCACTTGAAGCAAAAGAAAATGGATGAATCCACATTGAAAATTGCAGATTCAGTGCCCGAACGAACCCAGTCCTCCGGAACGGAAAATACTCCAGACGATAGTCCTGATTTTGAAACATTGAAGCAACTTTCGATCGATTTTAAAAGGATGCTTACCCAAGCCATGAATACTGATGTTACGTTTCGAGTGGAAGATACCACCATCAAAGCGCATAAAGCAATATTATGTGCAAGATCACCAGTGTTTTGCCGTATGTTCGAACATTCCACATTAGAAGCCGCAAATAATGAGTTGCAAGTGACGGATATCCGGGTTTCTGTTATGAAAAAACTCATCAACTACTTATACTGTGGTGAAAAAGGTTGTCTTCAATACGAAGAAGCATGTGAGCTTTACAACGCAGCTGACAAGTGTGAGATTTTGTGTCTTAAAGAAGCTTGTATGAAAGATCTCTTATCTTTACTTGATGTGAACAACGCCTGTCCAATGCTTAGTCTGGCATGTCATCACAGTGATGATGCTTTCAAAGAGCGGATAATGGGCTTTATTTTTAAGAATTTTAATTCTATTGTCAATACAGAGTCGTGGGTTGAATTAACAGAGCAAAACGCAAAACCAGCTGCTTTTTTAATTCGTTATTGTGCTGGAGCTTTGACTAAGTAGGTCTGATTTTCGTTTAATTCTCTTCCGATAGTTAATCGATTTACTATAGTTATTTACTATAGATATAGTTATTTGATTAGTTACTTTTAGAAAGAAAACTACATTTTATCAAAGTGTAACTGTGTGTATGTTAAATGTTGTAATATTATTATAATTGATACCATTCGTATTATACTTAAATTAAAAAGGATTAAGACAATATGGTGATGAGTTATAATTTTTCAGAAAATGTCATTTTTACATCAAACATTTTCGTATTTCAAATTAATATCTCTAGCTAGGTACATTTGAATTTTTGCAAGTTTTGCTAGATAAAAAAAATAATAATAAACACCCAAAATTTTCTTAGCGCTTCTTTAGAAGTTGAGGTGTTTTTCTTCCAGAATTCTCCCCTTAGCAATTTAAAAATATGGCTCCTATGCTCTTTATAAAAGAAACGACTGCTACTTCAAATGTAATATAAAATTCAATCATGTTCTAATAGTTTGAACTGTGTAATAAATATATTATAAGTTTTTAATTTACTTAATTATGAAATATCATTGAATGTTTATTTTAAATGTTGCCATTCAGGGAGTTTTAAATAGTCTGATAAAAAGTTTTGTTTTTCTTGTTTTGTCTTTTGTGTCTCTGTCTTTGTTCCCAGAGAAATACTTAACGACTTTCCGGAATTTCAATTGGAATGTAAATAAAGGTCCTGACAATTAAAACACTTTCTGATTACAATACTTACTTTCATTTTTGTATCACAATTACTACTAAGTATCTTAATATGTTCCTTGTTGCCGAAACTTCTGCTTTTGTATGGATATTCACTTTTCATATTTAAATTGAAACAAAATGTATAATTTCGTATTAACACTTTGACGGAGATGGAACACTAGTGTTTCATAAATATAACGCTTTTTCTACCGCTCTAATTATTAGAAAAAAAAACATATTCGTTATTTTTAATTTGTTAGAAACAGTTCAACGTCACTCAAAAAATCTGTCTGGAATTATATTTATACTAAATTATGAAATCCAAAAAAGTAGTCATTCATATTCAAAAAATTTATCAATAATTTATTTTATAAATTAAAGAAATTTCAATGATGAATAGCT